ATCTTGGCCCAGATGAAGCCCATCAAAACCTGGGGATGGGCAGTTCTGGGGCTCACTGGGGCCCCAAAACCCATGGAGGGCATGGGGCTGTGGGCAGAGCAGCAGTGCAGCATGCAGAGCCTGGCCAGAGCTGGCCACGATTTTGGGACCGGGGCTCACGGCTCATGTTACTTGCATCATGAAGCATTTTTTTTTTCTTTGGTTTGGCTAAAACCAAACAGAAAAAGTGATTGATGCTGGGGGGTGGAGAAGGAAAAATCCATTTCCATCCTGAGAACCGGGCACAGCCAGTTCCCACATCTGCTCCCCTGGCCGGGGCTCAACCGTGCAGCCTGTACTGGGGAGCACAGCTGCCTCCTAACATGGCAATGTTGTGGCCCTGGTTCCCTTGGTGCAGGCTGGCTGGGGTCCTGCGGGGTCGGAGGGGTAGGGAACCTTGGGGGGGAGTGGGTGCAGGGAGGCGCGGGCTGGTGCGGAGCTCCCCGTACCCTGCCGGGGCTCGGGAAGGGTGGAGGCTCTGCAGCACATAAGCAAGCAAGGGCTTGGTTGCTGCCACATCACACCCAGGGCTCCCGGCCAGGCCCAGCGGCTCCGGCGGGGGCCGGGAAGGGGGCAGAGCTCCCTGCCCTGGAGCACAGCTGCCTCCTAACATGGCAATGTTGTGGCCCTGGTTCCCTTGGTGCAGGCTGGCTGGGGTCCTGCGGGGTCGGAGGGGTAGGGAACCTTGGGGGGGAGTGGGTGCAGGGAGGCGCGGGCTGGTGCGGAGCTCCCCGTACCCTGCCGGGGCTCGGGAAGGGTGGAGGCTCTGCAGCACATAAGCAAGCAAGGGCTTGGTTGCTGCCACATCACACCCAGGGCTCCCGGCCAGGCCCAGCGGCTCCGGCGGAGGCCGTGAAGGGGGCAGAGCTCCCTGCCCTGCACCTGGGTTTGCTGGGGGCTGTGAAGGGCAATGGCAAGCCGGAGGTGCCCTGCCGGGGCTGGGAGAAGGGAGGTCAGCACTCGCCCCCCCGCATTGCCCTGTGGCTGCCCTGCTTCAGGAGAACAGCATTTAGGGTCTCACGCTCTCTCTCTCCCTGTACTCCGCAGGGTAGCTGAAAAGGAGCCCATCAACAAAATGTCTCTCCACAACCTGGCCACGGTCTTTGGGCCGACACTGCTGAGACCCTCAGAGGGGGAGAGCAAGGGACACCTCACCCTGGCCTCCGACATCTGGTCCCACGATGTGATGGCCCAGGTAAGAGCTGTGCTGGCAGCGTGGGGCCGCAGCCCGGGCCAACACCGCTGGGGCGGGGAGTGGAGGGGTTTACCTGCCTGTCTGGGTAGGTTTGTCCCTCTTTGCTGGACATGGCTGCACAGGCACAAGCTGGGACATGGCAGCTTTGCCCCTTTTTTGGCCTAACACACTCCATTTGCCTACTACAGGTCCAAGTCCTTCTCTACTACCTGCAGCATCCTCCCATCTCCTTCACTGAGCTGAAACGCAACACACTTTACTTCTCCACGGATGTGTAGCCTGCAGGGAGAAGGCACCAGCTGCAAACACTCCCAGCTCCCTGCTGGGGGACATGGACTGGATCGCAGCCCCCCAGGGAGACCGGCCCGGACCCAGGACGGTGCCACCTGCAGCTCCTGTACAATCGCGTACCAGTGGCCCGGTCCCACCCCAGGTGCCGTGCCTCTCTGTAAAGTAGTCGTGTCTTATGTCCCTTCTTGTGTTCAAGAATTGTTTTTATGTATATTTGTTCAACAGAAGAGGTAGTGACTGACAAGGGCTGTGGACACAGGCTTCCCCCTTGGCTAGTTTTCTCCTGGACTCCTTTCTGCCCGCTCACTCCTACCAGGCACCCCTTGTCTCGCCCAGCTCGAAGCCTGCAGCATCCCACGAGTGCCTGTTTCGCTGCCCAGCTCCCTTGCCCCATGCCTGCATGCGCAGCACTGGCTCGCTTCAGAGGCTGGGAGCTCACGGGCTTCCCTCTTCGGTGACGACCAGCTTTGCTTTGGCTTGCTGCCTGCGCAAATGTTGGACCCGGTGCCTGGATCCTGTTCTGGCCCAAGCAAACCTGCAACCATGGGAGCAGAGGCGCAGGGTGCTGCTTCCTCCTTGCCACGTCTCTTCTGGGTGCTTTCAGGCCAGTCCCCTCTACAGCCCTTAATCTGTGCTTTGCCTGTGTGTGTGTAGCATGGCGGTTACTTCCCTCGCTGTTTCTCGCCTCCGAGTAGCGTTTTGGGGTAACCCATCACACAAGGCTGGAGCGAGAGGTGCTGTGCTGGTCTCGATCCACAGCAGGCTTGAGGGATGGCCAGCTGGGCAGGTCTGCTCCCTCCGCTACGGGCTGACTCCAGGTCTGTGCTCTGGCACCGACGGGGTCCCACTGGGGCAGGCGCGTCCCACAATTTCCCCAACTAGCCCTGGCAGGGCAGGGAACAGGGTCCCTGCCGTTTCTGTATGCCCGTATCTCTGCCGTAGCAAGGCACGCACAAGCGAGGCGTGCATGCTGCTGCCAGCCCAGCACTACCGCAAGGGTTGCCGATGCTGGCTGCGCCCCATGGCAGAGCCTGCCAGGGCACCAGCGTTCCTGCTGTGGCCACGAGAATGGGGAGGTTTTTGTTTCTCTCCTTGGCCTTCCCCGCTTCCCTGGGCACCAGGCAACGGCAGCACGTGGCCCTGCCTCGGTGCCAGCCAGGCTGCCGAAGGCGAGTGCTCTGTGCAGCAGCTGGATGGTCACCCAGCCTGGAAACCAGCGCAGAGGGACAGGAGGGAAGCCTTCATGGCCCTCACTACCAGAGGCAGGAGCGCTTCATTTGCTCTTTCTCACAAAGCAGCTGCTGCTGGGTTAGCCGTGCCCGGCCAGCTCAGGTCCGTTTTAGTTAGTGGCTCCAGTTCTTGATCCCCAGGCTGATGGCTGGAGTTGTCACGCCACGTCCCAAGGCAGGACGGCCGCATACCTGCACTCGCTGCCAGGCTGTGCTCCGGCCGCCCAAGTGCCTGGCTCCTGGTATGTCCCCCACCCTCCCACACTCACAGGTAGGTGCTGGTACCTGTCGGGACACGAAACCTTTCGCTCTGTGAGCCGAGTCCGTGTTCTCGTGGGAAAAGCCCTCTCCCCGATTGCGTTGGCCCTGTGCTCTCCTGTGCCAAATGGAGATGGATAAGTGACCAAGCATATCCCTGCTAACAGCGGCGTTGCCTTTACCCTCCCGACTAACAGACTGTTCCAGGTAGAGCCCGACCGCCTGCCACCGATGCACCAGGTATGTCCTAAGCCCACCTCCCCAGGGAAGGCAGCACCTGCCGGCCCCGCACCAGCAAAGCAACTAAAGGAGGGGAGGTCTTTCAGTCCCCCTCCAAAGGGCTCACACTCCAGACCCTGCTCCTCTTGACTACCAGCTAAACAGAAGGGAAACAGCATTGCAGAAAATAACCAGGCGTCTGTCTTGGCCCTGGACCCAGTAAGGAGGCAGAGTTTTAGATGTGACTGCACAACGGATCCCTGCGTGTGTCTGATTTGTTACATGTGTCCAAGTCTCTGTCCACGATACTGTCATTCCAGATGGAGACTCTGTACAGCCAAATCCTCCCCCCCTCAGTGCGACAGTGGCTGGCGGCCCGGTCCACACAGCCCCGGCACAACAGGCTGCGGCTGTCCCCGTGACCGGCTTTTGCTTGTCCCTACAGGAAGGAAAAGAGGGGGGTGGACTCTTGCAGCTACAGGTAGAATAGAACTGTTAATTAATATTTGACTTTCAAAAGTTGTTAAGGATATATTTTTGTTTGTGTTCTGTTTCAATTTCTGTAGATTATAAACTTTAAATGGCTGTAAACCATGTGAGGAGAAAAAAAAATGTTAATAAAAATGCAAAGCCCCAACATTTGCACAAAAGGAGCCCCATGGTGTTGCTGTTTGCACTAACTGATCACCTTGGCATCACAGCTTCTCTTTCTGTCGTGGAAATCTTGCTAGTTGCACTTCAAGCCAGTGGTATAAGCACAGGCATTGTGCCAGACAATTTTTTAAGAGACATCTTATGGTTTGGGCTACATCCTTGCATTTCAGTTCATTCTGGAGGAAAAAAACCTGGACTGTCTGGAGCCAGCCTGTTTAATCAGCCCAGAATTACTCAAGCTTAAAATTCAGCTGATTTGCACAGCTTCTGGCCTGAGGATACTGAACAGGCACAGCAAGGGACATCAGGCGATCTGGAAACCTCATCTGATAGATCACATGGTGCTGTCTCCCCACTTCTTTCCATGTGGGAATGGGAGACAATATGCCTCCAAACTGACCACTGACCACCACATCAGCCAAACCACACTGCTAGTATTGCTCTTCCAGGTAAGCAAGTGCTGTTGCCATTCTGGGATGTCAAACTGTGGATGCAAAGGAGGGGAAGATGCAAATGGGAGGGAGAAACCCCATTAGGTGTGTGCACTGAATTTGAAATCCCACTGCCTCAAAAAGATGAGGGTGGACGTTTGCCCTTGTGGAGTGGCTCAAGGAAGGTTAAAATCAGTCCGAACTATTCCGAGTATAAAAATTACACCCTGAGGTCTGAGAACAGAGCTCGGTTGGAAGAGCAAGAGGGCTAATATGAACGCAAATCAAAAAGGGAACAGCTCCTTGAGCTAGTGAGCAGATATTTCGACTTTAGTGCCAATGTTCTGCAGAAGTAACACTTCACTTTCCCCAGTGTAACACTGAGGCACTCGGAGGTGGTACAGGGACGTGATGGGAAACAGACTGCGTGCTAAGCGAATGCCCAGTTATGTGTCTAACAGTGGTTTATTCTCACAACTCTTACTTTCTAGTCTCACCATCAAACTGCTGGAACTAATGGTGTGAGCCTGTGGCAGTTAAAGCAGTAGCAAGATTACTTGTACTCCCACAGCGAGGTTAAATCAGGCTAGCCAAGTGGCTACAGAGAATTATACTTCTGCAACAACCTCTTTTTTTTGCCCTTAAACTGTTTTGTTCATCTGCCAGTAACCACACGGTTCTAAGGCTAAGGATTCCTTTTTGCTTTTCCCTTTAAGACATGGTAAAGAAATCTGGCTCTCATCTCTGTACTTGAAATAAGACAAGTTGTACAGATGGTGGTTTGTCTTCAGCTGGTATTTTAAGAAAAGCCTGGAACAAACTATTTCTCCACAGGATCTTACCTCTCCCCAACAGAGTAGCAAGCTGCAAACTGATAACTGTTAAACACTTGCAGCACGTTCAAATACACGGTAACCTAAATCACTGCATTTCTTTTTGAAGATTGTCCTCCTGCCTCTTTTGATGCTAGCAACAGACTTAATCAAAATCAGACCCAAAGGATCGAAAAAGCTCAGAGTCCAGGCTTGTTTCCTGGAAACTGACAGTCAGCTGATCCGTCCTGGAGATACTGCTCACTGCGCCTGGCTCTATCCTCGCATACTCCCGCAAGTCTGCCTGAAGCAGCACGCCAGGGCTCAGAGCCAGATTATTGTTAGTCATTCAGGAAAAGCAGCCAACACCATCCAGCTTGCACTGATCAGGACTCCAAAGGCAGTGGAAAGGTAAGCCTGATGGTTCTTCTGCCGTGATGCAGGCTCTTAGCAGCAGCACTGGAACAAAAGGGAAACTTGCTCCCAAGGGATCCCACTGTTACCGTAGATAGTAATCAATTGCGGCGGAGAAAGCGGCAAATCCACCACAGCCGATAACCCCTGCCTTCAAACCAGCTGCAATGCAAAAAGGGTGGGAAAGAATGAGACAAAATAGGAAAGATACTGTTCTTCCCAGTAACTAGCTTATGCTGTGCTGGCTTGAAGAGCTTACACCTGCAGGAACCTGGCGGTCCGCTACCAGGGTCACACTAGCACTACCACTGCCCAAGGTGAGGGGGGGGACCTGGCACACACTAGACTTAAACTACCACAGCTGTACTAGCACAGGACGTTGGCTGGGCGTTGTGCTGCTAAGCCTCCCCCCAAGGGATAGAAGAGAAAACACCAGTGGGCATTGCTGATTTCAGTGCGCTCTGATCTGAGCGCTGCAAGTGGCTTTGCTGTTGCACTAGGGAGGGACAGGAAGAGCAGCTACTGCTTTGAAAGCTCTAAGAGGATTAGGTTCAGGACAGACACAACTTAACAAGCTCAATTAGAAGCACTTTCAAGAGCACTTTCTTTTCGTTTATGCTCTGTGGACAGGTTTTTTTCTTAAGGAGAGGTGAGAGAAGTTTGGTATTTCTGATGAGCAGAGCAGCTCTCTTCCTACTTGGGGCTTTTCTCCAGATGTTGTTAGCACTCAAGGCTTCCCAAAGTCCCCACTAGTGCCTGCTGGACTAAAATCCCAGTGCTCCTGCTCTTTTACAGCTAAATAGAATTGTCTGTTTGAATTGATACGTGAGAAAGGAGAAAAGCATTTTACACACTGTGCAAATTAACAGAGTTACTGCCAGTGAAATAGTGTATATATAAGTAGAGCTCTGTTAACACAAGAGCTGTAGCTTCAGAGAGTTGCTCAGTATGTATTTTTGGCTCCCTCCCCACAACACCACAGAAGAGTGTGGATAGCTAACACCATTTCCTGATTTTTCTTTCAAGTCAATTCTGTTGATTTTCTTCCAATCTCACTGTCCTGTATGACCAAGCCTTCCCTACCCACACATATCTTTCAAGCTGACAGGAAAGCGATAGAGAGAGCAGTTCTGCCAGTCTGGAACACACTCTCATGTTGACATCACCATAACCCCATGCAAAGAGATTTGTAGCGTGTGTTCCGCTAAAACCACCGCATGCTGCATAACCAAATTAGAGTCTTATCACAGAAATAGTTCATAGCAGGCACTACCAACCTCTGAAGCCGATTGCTCCTCCTGTGATGCAGCCGCTAATAACACTATTCTTCCAGTCTGACTTTCCACGATACTGTGGAATTAAAAATCAGAGTCAACAAGTAAATACGGAATAAACACTCAGTATCTGTAGTAATACCAAGAAAGATTAAATGACCTTCCAGCCCCTTCTCAGGTTAGGATGTTTTTCCCTCTATTCTCAGCAGATGGCTCCCTGCACTCTCAAACATAAGACTTGCAGGGCCAGGAGAAGAGGAAGGAATGGGTCACCGGGAGAGGTAAGACAAATCCATATGGTGCAATGCAGTGCTACGGCAAAGATTCTCAGGTGAGCCAATACAGCCCCCAGAACACAGCACTGTGCACTAGCACCAGCTCAGAGGTTTTAAAGGCACTATAACTACATGAGTGCAACACTGAGCCTGGCCATGCAGCCTGGTTCTCAGCACAGGTGAGAGCCACAGCACCCTGCTGACAAAGATGTACTATTTCCATAGCCAGAGCACGCTAGTTTTTCACCAGTGCAGAGATCTTTTTGTTCCGCTCCATTGTGCAAGCAGATACACTTTCCTTCTAGATGAGTTAAGAAATAATTGTGTCTTTCAATTAAAAGGCAGTACTCAAATTCATAACAGGCTAATTTTCCTACTTAAGAAAATGGATGATAGCTTTATCACTGAGCTGCACAGGGTCATTTCTTGTTGTAGGGGCAAGATGAAAACAGGCCTGTTACTTAAGAACCTTCATCAAAGGATCCCTTTCTGCATATGGAATTTTTAGATGCTCAAATTACCATGTTGCAACTCACAGTTTGATGTTTTAAAGTAACAAGTACTTGTAGCTAGGGTTTTAAAAAGTAATGCCTATACTTGCCAATACATTCAGGACTTGAACTGAAAAGGACTTTGCTATTGCATGCTCTTGACATTCAGGACTTGCTGAAAAGGACTTTGCTATTGCATGCTCTTCTGCTCATTCTGTCAGAGAACAGCAGTTCTGAAGACAGGTCTCAAAGCTGAAAAGCTTTGATGGCCAAGAAACAGGACAAACTAGCCTACTCCCTTGCCCTGTTACAAAGGGGATATACATACTTATTTGGATCTAGTAAAAGAGATTATTAAGTGTACAATAAAACACTTCTTAATGCTTAAGAAGTTATCACTCACAGATTCTACCACACATTCGGTGCAGGAGAACATGGCGCCCACAATGGCGAAGTTCTTTGCGTAGGATATGCCTCGCTGCCCCATATCTTTGAGGACCTCTTTTGCGGTTGGCGTGCGATATGGATCCTTGGGATCAAACCCAACGTTGGTGTCGATGCCAGCTGTGAAGACACCAAATGCGCCTCCCAGAACAAATCCTGTAAAAGGCAAACAGTGTAAAATGAACCTTGGCTGGATTCGAGCAGCACATTCCCCACAGGCACCAGAGCACCTCCGCTCCCGCTGCCTGTCAACGCTGCAGCGTGAAAGGGGCAGTGCAAGAGCACAAATGGCCTGTGTCTTGATACTACAGACTCTGTTGCTGATACCCTCCTTGCTGACAGCCTGTGCTGTGCTGAGGAAAGGCTGTGAGCACCTCTTCCTTTGCAAGGAAGGCAGACAGAGAGAGATCCTTCCCTGGGACCTGTGACAGACACTGGAGGAGGCTTAGAGGGAGGAAAATCAAACACGGGAGTCCCTGTGCTGCAGCCTCTTCTCCATCCGCCCCTTTCCCGACGCCACGGGGACCCCCCACACTCCCTAACCGCTCCCACAGCTGGCTGCCCCGCCCACCGCCCCCCCTC